GCAGATAAAGTAAATAGCTCATTGAGCAATGCTTAGTGTGAATTAGTTCTATTCCATCAAACACGTACCTGCTTTTTGCACTTTAAAGCTATCATTTATATCAACAGTAGTCACAGACGGTTGTAGTTTGACGTATTCACTAAACGTATTCATCAGTCGTGCTGCATTTTCAAAAGCATCCACCAAATGCTTGCTTTTTTCCGGAAAAATACCACCTGATCGAAAGAAAATAGCAAAATGAATCAGAAAGTTCATGAATGTTGCTTTGTTTGTGACACAAACGAAATTCCCCGTCGATTCATGAAATTTTCACAGCGTCAAGAGAGCAAAAATAAAAACATGATACGATGTTTTCACTAACGAGAACGTAAATGCGCGTGCCCGTTCAAAAAACACCGTTTGTTTTCAATACACAAAGTCACAGTAGTTTATTTTTAGTACACAGTGTCGGCTCACACGTCGCCAAGCACGGAGAGTCACACGCTTCCGATCCAAACAATATTTAGCACTCCAATTTTGCAGTAACGATTACTACACATTGCTCCGATTCTGCGCACACTCGGCCGTTTTTCTAACTGTTCTTATTTTTAAGTTCGATTTTTCTAAAGATGTTCTTGATCGATCACTTTTGAATTTTGTTCGTAATTTCGAATGAAATTCTTATTTTTTTCAAATTGAAGCATGAATTTTCTTATTAAAACTTCGGAATTAATTTGGGTTGCAGTATCAAAGGTCAAAAATGCTCGCACGTGTAACACTTTTCACTTCAATCAACATTCCTTTTTTTCCTCAAACTTACCAATATTTATGAATTTATATTGCTGCGGTGATACAAATCCGCAAATTTGTAAGAAAACTACGGAGAATGTGAGTGAAAACTTCATTTTTCAACGATTTTCACATTTTCTCTGCACGAAAAATAGAATGTGTATAATAGAACAGCCTAAAGTCGTTTGATGTCTGCAGTTGACTGTCAGCGATCACTGAAAATAAAAGCAATTCAGACTCGCTTATTCCAGTTGGAGAACACTCACGCTTTTATTGGAAAGATGTTCGAATTTCCTGCAGTGCGACAAAAATAACACACAAGCGAGCGCGTACGCGCTCATTTTCATAATCGGCTGTGTTTTTGTTTTTGCTTTCTCTCAAACAAATAAATGAAACAAAACATATCAAAAGAAAACGTCGATATTCTTTCAAAACCACTTGTTATGACTCACACTCGATTTATTTATTTAAACAGCGGATTTTTCACATAAATAGCTCACAATGATAGCGTTTGATGTTGAAATGAGCAAAATGAAATGAAAGATTTATTCGATATCCAACCGAGAATTAGAATCCATCTCGATTGATATGAAGATCAAGTGTTTACATTCTGAATCTAAACCCTATCAAGTTTTTCACTTTCCGCTGTTTTGAGCGATTCTTTGGAAATGGCTGATTTTAGCGAACGATCCGATTTTGATGATTGGCTTGAACGAGACGAATCAGATCGTTCTTCAAGTCCTTTTCCCACTGGTTTTGTTGTTTGCCGTAGATCAATAACGAATTTCAATTCGCGAACCAAAGCTTCATATGGTGTAATCTAATGAAAAAAAAAGATTCCTCGTCATTGAAAATGGATTTTAGGTCAGAATAAAATTTGTATTTTTGCTAAAACTGAAAGAGTGTTTAAATTGTTGGTAACAACCAAAAATAACGAACCGTTTCATCGATAGCAATTTGCCGAATGTTCCATATGAAATCGATGATACAAACGATAACCGCAACCACCAGGCCGGCTCCAAGAACGAGAAATACACCACCAACATTATCTAATCCCAACTCAGGTGTATCTCCTCCACCTCCACTGTCATCACCACATTCACCGGCGCCTGGATTATTTTCAACCCACCACTTTTCTTTGAGTTGAAGCAATATTCCATTTTCTTGGAGTTTCAATATTGAGTGGCTGACGAGTGTACGCCAAGGAGAGTCTAAAAAAAGAGCCGAAGAAAGTCTTTAAATGGACAGATTCCCTAAAATCTTGTACAAATCTAAAAAAGATGTGACGTCACTTACTGAACGGCAAAGCTATACCATAGCTACAAAAGGGAAAAAAACGATGTGAATTACAATTCTCAAAATTTCGACCAAATTTCAAATGGAATTTACATAAATATTTAGATACCGTACCCCTTGCTATCTAATTGTCCACCGACTTGAGTCAAATTGCAATTTTGCTGGGAAAAGTATTCAATTTGGCTGGATTCCATCAAGAATGCATACCCGCCCTTTGATTTAAGAACGCGTTCGATCCCTTTTATGAAACCGAAGTCCAAAAGAGAAAATCAAAATAAAAAAATTGAAAATTTTCTTTGGGAAAAGAATATATTGATTGAAGCTACAACCTTCTTTATTATCAGCGACAAATGGTGATGGGTCCATCGATTCCATAGCGCTCCACATACGTTGGTACGTTGAAAAGTTGGAGTCTTTGAAAAATTGTAGTGTACTGCCTCCCAGCACGGCTCCATACTTAATTTTTGTTTGTTTCGCCAAATCGTCGGCGCTTTCAATTGAAACGCCCATCCTAGACATGGTCAAAAAAGCCGCCAAATTGGCTGTATACGACGAAATGATGATGAGAGCAAAGAAGAACCAAAAACTGAGTGCAATGCGAGTTGATGCGGCTTTCGGCAAAATATCACATCCTTGCTGCATAATAGAGCCTACAGTCAACCAAATACAATTGTGCATATTCCATATGTTCTCCAATTCTTCGGGATTTTCATCGCACGGGTGAGGATTTTCCCAATCATCAGCCGCCATTCTGTGATTATTGAAATAAAATCAGCACAAATCTATGAAATTAAAACCGGAGTAATTTTGAAATCTACCTTGATAAAATTAAAAGTGCGACGGTCATAATCAAATAAGCTGTAGCCATATAAAGCCACACCTCCAATGACAATGGGTCCATGAAGGCGAAAAAATTCGGTGGCTCTGCTTCTGGTTTGGCATACAAAATACTTATTCCTATTTAAGAGAATATGAATTGCAATTGAGTGAACTTGTGTGTAATATGCTAATTGATATAACAATCGAAATTTACCCAGTGTCATAAAAGGAGCGGAGAAGTCAACAGCTGATCTTCTCATGTATGTAATGGTCAAATCACATATTGCCATATCAGCATTCTGAAAAGTTCAAACTGAGTTATTACAATTCATTCTTCTTCATTCATGTTGGATTTTCCGGCACTCACATGATCCAAAAGCTCTTTTACTAGACCATCCCATTTCTTTGTTTCCTTGTTATAAGAGCCATATTTATTGCCAGCCACCAAACGAAATTCATACTTGAAGCCCAAAATATTGGAAATGGCATCAATAAGATCATACGCATATCCTTCGAGGCAATGATTTCCTTCGCAGGGAATCCCATCGTATTCTGGCCTAATCACAAACATGTTGTTTTGTCAAAAAGTCAAATTAAATTTGTACCACACAATAAAGTAAGCATTATCAATGGTATCGTTTTATAATTGTTCTCAAATTAAATTAAAAAGAAGAAAAGAAAAACCAATGACTTGCTTGATTCTCATGTAAGGCATTCCAGTGCGTGTTGTTACAATCAAGGTTTTATTTTGCAATGATTGTGAAATTTTCAGTTCAACTTCTTCGGTTGTGCGTAGCATTGTAATCTTTTTATCGGGATCCCACGTTGCAATCTTCTTCAGGCCCTCCGCAAACGAATACTCAATAATTTCCAAGACAAAATAATTCCGCTCGAAGTTGTCGTTGAACGATATTCGGCTGGTTATTCCTTCATCCGTTTTCTAAAGTAAAAACCATTCAAGTATTCAAAATTTAAATTCAGGTCGCTAGAATTTCATATAATTTAAAAATACTTCATTCAGAATTTTCAGTATCACTTCGCCCTGTTCCCACTTTTTCGGCTCCTTGCAGTCCAGTTCAGGTAATTCAATTTCGGCATTCAGAGAGAAATCGCGTAGAGATGACGAAAATACTTTAACGGCATCGTGAATAAGAGCTGATTCAGTCTTCAAAAGTAAATAACAAGTTTGACTTTTAGTCTCACTCTCTTACGTATTTCAGAAATGAACTCACTTTAATTTTCTCGGTCGAATAGCCAGTGCTTTCTCCCTTTCTCGCCGCATCCTGTTTCCAGTCGTGTACAGCGGTTTCGGCATCAACGCTGCCCGGATCGATGATTCGAAATGTGGTGATATTGGCGTGGTTGCCTTCGATTTCAGAGAAATCAATCGTATGCGTATCGATTGTTGTAATGATATAATTTTGGTACTCTTCGAGTAATTTGACTTTTTTTGCCTGTGCCAAAATGGGTATCACTCTATCCAAGCTGCAATCCAAGATGATTCTCGTTTCACCGTATTTTGCAATCTCTTTTAGCATTGGCATTTGATCTTCGTTTTCGTCCAGCTGGCGAACCATAACCGGACCAACTGTAGTGTCATGATACTGTAGAACATCATGCAGTCGCATCAAAGCATAATTATCCTCATAAATCAAGGTGAATGAAGTCCAATCATAGTCTTTGACTAGGTCGGACAAAGAACGAGAGAAAATGCTTGGACTTGGGAACAAATTTCGCGTAAACTGACGAAATGGCCGTTTAAACGCCGGTAATTCAGGCGTCCATTGGTTCATAAAATGCGGAACACCAAACTCATTTGCAATTGATGCCACGATGCCAGTATGTTTAAATTGCCCACTTGATGATTCAAATATTGCAACTACACCTTCCGAGAACATCGAACACACTTTGCGAAGTAAAACGAAGAAATTGACATTATTTTACGCAAAATGTCATGCTAAAAGTATTAACTAAAAACATAATGAAAATAATGTTTCGAAAACAAACAGAACGTTGCACTGCACGATCATGTGATTAATCATGAACGACATTTAAATGCACAATTGCGACAACGGGTTCAACTTGCATTCGTAAGAGTTTAGTTGGCTGTGGGCCAAATGGAGAGCGATCACTCAATCCATCAGACGGATTTAGCCTAGTGCCGAAAGAAGGCACTCAAATGAGATTTATGTATGAGATACTGAATCGAAACTATTATTAGGAATTACTACCAAAAAAATACATGCTGAAAAGCTATGAAGAAAGTAAACTGATTTGCAATGTGAAAATGTATGTTTTTCATTATGAAAATTTCGATTTTTTTACAATACAACTATGATTTTATCTATTTGCTTTGACTTACCAGCCTCCTCAGCTTCATACGTATTTGTGGCATCAATATTTTTAATGATGGGAATAAGATTGAATTTTGCACCGTACATATTTTCACGGAACACCGCATGCTTAAATGCAACTTTAGCTTCCCCATTTTCTTTATCGAAAATTGCGCCTAAAATCGATTACATTGATTATTTCACCACACATTAATTAACTTTATAGATCGAGCGCACAAAACTGAGCGTAACAATTGCGTAATTTCACTTATTAAAAGGAATTTCTCACCAATTGGAACTTCGATTCGTGAATACACTGTTTTCAGTAAGAGGAAATAAACCAAAATCCACTTTAAAATACACATTTTGCCATAATATTCCGAAAATCGTCAATAAATTCAAACCGAATATCCGATCATAAACCACATTTTAAAACCGAAGCACTAGAAAATTAATTTTATTGCACTCAAATCCCGGCCACTTCAATTTATGTGTCTGATCGACACGGAAAAACGTTCGCATTTGACTGGTTCGCACATGATGTGCGCAAACAGTAAACTTTAATTAGGGACTGTAATTCGTTTATTTTGAATCTATAAATATTTTGTCGCCAGACGATATTCAAATAAACCACAGTTCGGTGGTGCTTTCTAAGGCACAGCGTGAGAAAGAACGTTTTTTTTAAAACATAATATCTTGTTTATGCCTTTTTTATGTAATTGGCGGTGTAATTTCTGGTAAATTGAAGGAAAAAAAGATAAAAAACATATAAATGACCTCTTAAATATCTGGGGAAAAAATTTTTAAAAATGAAACCAATTGACTGAGAATTTATTCAAGTATAAAAGCGTTCATCGAGTGGATGAAAAAGAAACGTGTCGTCTCCATTGAAAAGTTCCACCGAAGTTCATCCATTTATTCCTCCACTGCATATATATGTGCGAAATAGTCGAATACGAACATTTTTTTGAGATAAGGTATTTTGTCAAAATCTATTGACGATTTTCGGAATTTGCCATAATAGGCAAAATGTCAAAAATCTTTGAAAGCGACTCATTTTATTTTTTAATTTTATTTAACACCGCCAAGCTCTGGCTGAATATAATGAGGTTTAAATAAGTGTTTGGCCGGAAAAGAGTGCAAGACTGTTACATCAATTTATAATTATAATAATTTACACCGATTTAGTACAACTTTCAGCTCTCGCCTCGTTAAAAACATGGCTCTTTTAATAAATTATGCAGTATTCACAAAAGTAGGCACATGAAAACAAAAACATAGTCATACAGCCAAGATGGTAACGCTTGATAGTAGTCAGATAGAAACGGTCCAAAATAATCTTTGGTAAACGTATCCAAAAGGACAAAGGCTATGTGAAGCATTCAGTTGTACACTTTAATTGGAGATTCTAGGACAGCAAAAGTCCTCACTCAATTTATACCGGTGGATAAATTGACGAGAAGTTTTACGTCGGTTCAGGCAGATCCATGTTGGCTGCATAGTGATTTGAGTTAATGATTGACCATGATTTGAAGCGTATAAGGAGCATCTGATGCTAATATGAAAATAATTCAAAATTGATTTTAAAACTGAAATAATAACTCGCCAACTCAATGGATGGCTATGACAAAGATCAATATCAAATATTTCCTTACGAAAGACAGTGTATTCTCGAATTGAAATTTCGAATGGTGGAAATTCGCACAATTTTTTTAAACTAAGCTGATAGTATAGATTATACCATGCTGACCATGGATATAAACGTTGATTTAATATCGCATGAGAATACCAGCGTTGTTAGTTCCGCATATGCATTGAATTCGTTAGCATTCAACGGAGAAACCATAGAATGTTCACTTTTGTGCATATGTTTGTGTATGTTTTTGAAAGTCCTAGTTGAATTAAATGGAAAGCGTTGCTTCATGTGTATGGAACAGTACACTGTCGTACGGTACGAAACCCTTTATGTAGGTAGTTGATTTTTGCCAAAATTCTGGAGTCAAGGGGCTACCATTGTTCCTTTATGTGACACTCAATATAACCCGATACATGGCTTTTTTGCAAGCCTTCCTATAAGCATCGTTCCTCCATTTTTGTACACTGAACTCTATGCCGAACTCTTTCCTTCTCTCTTTTGCTTTCTCTTTTTCATTCTTTTTCGGGTTAAGGGTTTTACCTGTCGCCGCTTAGAAAGTGAATCAAAGATGCCGATATAGAGAGAGCGAATGGATTCCGAACAAATGAGAAAAACAATATAGCAATGACAAACCCATTCACACGAGAATTGGATAGCAATGAAAGTGCTGAAAGTTTATTGCCTCGATGTAAATCATTTCACCACCAATAAAAAGACAAATCGTAAAACTTCGTTGTGCTTGATGACAATTTCATTTAAGTTTTTATGACCGACCCCATCACAAAGCAATTTAAATGAGCGATTCCTTTTACCCTTGCACAGAGAAAACGCCGTATGCCTGCTTGCAAGCGAACATTTCGCACTGCGAATACCGACCGATCTTTGCTTTGTCTTGACCAAACACCATTTTCCACATTTGAATATTGACCTCAGCGGTCCGAAGTCTAAACAGTGAAAGTAATTGAATTCTGGCCGTTTAGAAAAGGATTAAGCAAATATTAGCTTTGTCTCTCGTTGCCAGCGCAAAGCCTAATTTTCCAAAATCTAAATTTGTTTAATGAATTTAATCTCGTTTGCGTTTCAAAAGCATTTATCATTTCGCCTCACTTCATTCGTATATTGTAGTTCCGTTTCGGCAGAAACTATTGTGCTATAGAAATATTTCCATAAATTGAAGAGTTTTAGTTGTCCATGCTTGTTTTACGGATGGAAGATTGGTATTTCAAACTTCGATCGGGAACTGCAGTTTCAGGGTGTATTTGATACGCTGCAGTCAAACTCTCTTCGGTGAATGCCATTAATTTGGAATGCTCATACGGTGATGTGAATGCGTCGAGAGAACATGAACATGAACATGAACATTATCAATTGAGCTATTTAAGTGAAGGTCAATGATGGTGATCCGAAATGCGTGAAAAATCAAAATTTGAGCATCTTAATTCTCAAGGCTCACATTGTTGACAAATTTGGTGAGTTGGAGTTCACTTGTATTCTGTATTGGCCAAGCAGCATTCAGGAGCCAAAGAAAACTTATCGTCTTCATTTTTCACAAAGTAACAAAAGTAGAACGACCGTTTCTTCTGTTGAGACCTTGAAACATTCAGAATACACGAAATAAAAACGAGTGAATTGGAAGAAAAAACAAATGCAGTAATTATTTGTTCCGTATACGGAAACTATAGCTTACATTTCCAGTTGCTTGGAATGTTTGGGATGTGTAGTTAAAATCGAAACAATCGCTAAAATCATTCAAAGAATCGTCACTTGGGCACAAGATAGTGTGCTTCTGCTTCTCGAAAATTATTAAAAACTTTACGAATTTATTGCGCATTTTATGTACTTTTTCACTACCGGATACTTTGAAAAATTCACTTTTTTCTCTCTCTCTTTCCCTTTGCTTGTCGTACTACTGTAACGAACAGGCAAAAGAAAGATGTACTTTCGAAGCAAAACGTTCATTGTTTCGCAGTAAACAAAATTACTTTATTGTACAAATTAATAAGTAGTTTTACTTGCCATATCATTGTACTCGCAAAGGTGAATTGGGTCCATCTCTCTCTTTCTCCCTTTTACCTGCATCAGTATAGCGAAAGAAACAAAAGTTGCATACACTGAAAAGGACCGAAGACAGTTTGGTGACAATAAACGGCCATATTTTGTATTTGAAAAAACATATTTTGCGAAGGCTCATGGAAAAACTATGGAAGGGATATTGAAATGTTTTATTATTTTATGATTTCCATAATGAAAAACGAAACTAGAAGGAGCAGAGACTTGAATGTGACATTATCGGGATGTTTGCACCCGGTATTTTGTCAACGGACTGCTGCCAAAAGTTGATGTCGTGCACAATATTGAAAATGAAAACAGTTGTTCACAGTTGACCGTCGAGTGCGAAACAAGAAAGTGATATATTCCTGTTAAGCTTCTGAAAATAGAAGTTTTCTCAATTCCAAAGTGTATTTCAATACTCCAACTTAGTTTTTTTATTCAAAATATTGAACCGGGCAATCAACGAATCTGTCCAGAACAGTAATTTTCACATCTGTTTTACAAATTAAAATTTGTTATTCTGATATAAAAAACGAAAGAAAGAAATTTTGTTTGTTTTATTTTCGATTGTGTGCTTGCTTTTTTCGGCGTATGTAACCTGATAAAGTGCCAATATTTGCGATAACTAAAAAAGAAATGCCCAATCGCTTGCGAAAGAAAATTGAAAGAAAAAGGAAATATTATCTGAATCTGTTACAGTCAATTTATTAGTGAATCACCTTTGTTCTGGAATCAAAGACACATCTTTAAGTGGTTGAAATGATTGAATTGTGTCTTGTTTTCAGTGGCATGGTTCACAGTTGTCGTTTTACGCTATGACTCCGGGATTTACAAATAAATGAAGTCAAGCAAAGAGAAGAGGGAGAAAACCTATGTTGGAAAAGATTAGGGAAATTCGAATATATCAACAACATTTCATAAAAACTGTTCCTAATTCTCATCGACTAACGTGCTGTTTCTTTTTTTATTTCTTTTGTCTCCAATAGATTTTTCGTTTGCGTTGGAAAACAATTTGAAACAAGAGTGATCTTCAAGTATTTCACCAGTGCGAACGCCGCCACATACACCACGATTGAGGATCAATAGTAGCCAAAATCGCCCGTTAGCAATCCTTGCACGAAATGGAGCTCTCGAGACAGCAAACATCGCAATATCATTTGATGCAGACCAAACATGAGAGCTCAGGGCCAGCAGCATACAATCATTTGCCCACCGCCGCTCTGAATGTCCGTCGGTACCATCAGCAGCAACATTGCCTGTGGTTGCAATCGCAAGTACAGAACGCTACATTGAACATACAAACTTACACACAATTATACCCGGTTATTCCAAATCCGTCTGAGAACCCTTTAATGGACCAAGGGATTCGTAAAGTGGCATTTCACCAACAACAACAAATGAGCCAACGTTGTGGCCCACGTATGGCACAACGAGCAGCCATGCGTTTTGAATCAATCAAAGTGGCCGGACCAAATGGAAAAATACCAAAGAAGCAGTACATTTGCCGCTTTTGCTGTCGCCCATTCCCCAAAAACTACAATTTACAAATCCATGAGCGTACGCACACCAACGAACGTCCATTCCCGTGCAATATTTGTGGCAAAGCCTTCCGCCGGCAGGATCATTTGCGCGACCATAAATACATCCACTCAAAGGACAAGTCATTCAAGTGTAACGATTGCGGTAAAGGTTTCTGCCAATCACGAACGCTGGCCGTTCACTGGGCTACACATGCCGAAGACAATGCTTTCAAATGCTCGGTGTGCGAGCAAACATTCACACAACGCACTGAACTCAAGACACACATGCAATGCCACACGTCAGCCACCATCGAAGCTGCATTAAAATCAATGCCAAGCGCTAAAATCCCATCATCAACACCATCAACTCTAGTTAACGATCCACCACATGAAATCACCATCGACTCACCATTGACCAGCAACCTAAAACCAAAGAGAGGATTTACAATAGACGAAATCATGCAATGTTAACTTGTAAACGTCGCTCTATAAACAATAATAACAGAACTGTTTTTTAAAAGCAAACAAAAGATAATCAAAGCGGACATTCTCAAGACTGAAACACTTTATTCGAATATAAACAGTACACAAACGATTATTTGTTATTATTTTTAGTTTTTCATTTCCCGGCTAAGTATTGTAAATAGAAACAGAGATAGAATTTTATTGTTAACGGAAAAGCAGAATGTTAAGAGTTTAGAGTAAATATGTCGTGTGGCGGCTGTTAAACGTCAAAGTCATTTGAGGCGACGCGAGCGCCCCCAATTTCAAAGGGCACATCAATGTAATTTAACATTTCAAATCGGAACTACACAGCGCGCCAATTCGAAATATAGGAAAATATAGTGTCAACAGCCGCACCATGAAATATGTTAAGAGAAAAATTCACTACATGAATGTTAGAAATAAAAACACCGAAAATATTGTATGAAAACAAATCAATACATTCACGATAAATGCTTACAGCTGTTGCTAAAAAGCTAAAATTCATTGAAAATAAACAATTTTTTAAGCTTCTTGATGTTTTGACGTCATATGTATATCCTGCTAGAGTTTAACTGATCCTGCAATTTTCTTGTCATCGAATCTAGATAAATTGAATCGGTTGGAATAAAAGTGACCTCCGTTTTTTGGTCACTGTATTTTGTGATTTTGTGGTTTTTAGGTTGGAGGTTTCTGAAAAATGTCTTTAGGAAAGTAAAAGATCAGGTAAAACACAAAATCACAAAATACAGAGACCAAAAAATCGTCGGAGGTCACTTTTATTCTAACCGATTCAATTTCGCCTTTTCGATATTGCAAATTGTTTTGAAAATTCAAATGAATTGACTTCATACAGAAGCATATCATGGAAATCAGATCAAAACGCCATTTGCTGCCTCTTGCTTGATCGACACAAAGACATCGGTAAATTCCATTCAAGTCAGTATCAGATGGTTCAGGATATCTCGTAGTGACTCTGGTCTTACGACAGAAACAAACAACTGAATAAAAATCATGCATGTTGGTGAGTGCTTATTGGGCGAAATGTAGAAAAGGCAAAACAAATTTAATTTCATCGACATTTTTCTCACTGTGACTACACAGCCGTACGTCGTTGAGAGGTGATGTGATGGCAAAAGTTGTAGATTTTTAGATCAATAACAAAATCAGGATTGCTGACGTTGCTGTTCAAGAGAGTTTGAACTGTTGACTGATAATAGGTTGATCTCGGCCAGAATTTTGACTGCTTGGACTTTCTTCCTGTAATCATTTCCACACATTTTCTACCCAGAAATGTCTCTCGGCATCAATAAGAATTTCTGTGAATTTCCAACAACGGGATGTGTTGGGCACTCTAACTTTAACAAACACCACTTTTTCAAGTATGAACACGGAAATTAGCGCAGCTTTAATGATGCTCCAAATAAGAAACATTCCTGGGAGCCCGTTCATTGTTTGACCATAAAATCGGTTGATGTATTTCTTTGCAGCTTGGACTTGGCTATCAGATCGCCATTTCCTCATGAGCCCAATTTCAATTGTTGTTTGTATGAAGTCATCAAAATTTTTCCGAAATGGCAAATCCTTGCGAACCAAAAACTTCAAGTCGTGTTCATAAATATTTTCCGGTTCGAAGCAAAAGAGCTGAGAGGCCGAAATCAAATGGCTACTATGGGCATGTTCACGGGAAATCGCCATTGCCAGCTTGGGATTTTTATCAAGTTGACTTAGACATCGGTCTAGATTCTCACAAGTTTGAAGTTTGTCACCACTTCTGATGGATACACCCAAATAACACTAAAATCATACAAGTTGAATATCTATTATTGAAATCCTACTCACCTCGTTTTTTCTTATCATATGATGTAATGCAAGTTTATCGCCAACGAGGTCAACCATCTCCAATTTGCTCTATCTATTTGACTTGATCTTCGTAAATAGGATTCATTGTAATATTCATAACACCCGACAAAATGACGATCGAATGTAATATACTCCTGAAAATGCCAAATGCATAAAAGACTCTGTATGCGAGTTTTTTCGGCCTATAATTACAAGCGATACCAAGTAAAACAACCGTACCATACATTTTTGCTCGATCCAATCCAGTCCCACCTTGGATGTATATCTTGAAAGTGTTGCATGTGATAAATCATTAAAATCCCTAACATACCCATCGTGGCGTGAAGTATAAACACGATTGGGTCATGGCATAAGTGAAATATATTTTTCCACGACGGAATGATTCGTCTTTTTTGAACACACCATGTCAATTTATCATGATAATATGGATGTGATGAGGTAAAGTTATTAGTTGAGATGCTTCCGTCTAAACCTCCAATGAGTACGACCATTTCTGAGATTAAACGATTTTGGACGAGAAATGTGCTCCAGTCTGTCGTGTTGGCGAAAATTTCGTTCAAAGATGTATTGACGACAATGTAATTTATTTGCAGCTTGAATTTCCGTGCGAAATTTTCTATTATTAACACATCCAAACCCTTTGGTGTTGCGTTGCGATCAAGAATCACGAATGGTATTCGTTCCGATAGCGCCACAGTAATCGTCAGTTTTGGATGATTGATTTTCATGTGCACTACTACAACAAACGAAACTTGCAGTGAACAGATTACCCACAGTAGCTTCATGATGAACATCCGCTCAATGTAAAAACTGGATACATAATGTTCAACTGCTCAACAACAAACTAAGACTGCCAAATTTTAAATGAATGGTTTGGGGCGAAAATGTAATACAGATAAATTGAGCGGAAAAATGTGAAATGAAAAGAGATAGCTATATAGTTTACTTTAGTTTACTATACAGTTTACTATATATCTATCCCTTTTTCCGCTCATTCATCATCGACATTTTTCCGCTCAACTTTTCTGTATTACATTTTCGCTCCAAACCATTCAAATATGAAAAAACCAGAAGGAATATATTCTATTATTTTATTTTTTATTTTTATTAAATTTTTATTTGAATTAGGTAAGAAAAACAGGTTTTTTCTCTATAAAAAAACCCAATGACCTATTACGCTTTGATTTTACATTTTTATAAATAGATAAATATAATTTTTTTAAAGTAATACTCTCTTAATTGCATTTTACACCTGTAATTTTCTATTTGAAATCCTTTTGAATTGTGTTTTGTTTACATTTATAAACGACGGCACAAGCGATACACACACAGACATTATGTTGACACACGAAGAGTGTTCAAAGAAAGAAGTGAGCGAAACATGTGCATGCACGCTCCGCGCAGCTCATCGTAAGTGTAAAGAGCATAACGAAAAAACAGCGACTCTGTGTGTGCAGAATCGCTATTGTGTATTAACCCTTTGACGACCAAAACTGAACGGCTGGGAATTTTGCAATTCTGATTGCAGATTCGTGCTCAGCGACCCCAAAAATATAAACGTGTTATCAAAAATTAATTTTTTTAATTGCAAATATGAAAAAAAAAATGATGGGACATATGTGTCCCATTGGTCGGTAAAGGTAACTATTTACCTTTATTTTTCTATGAAAAAAACATGTCTCCCATAAGAACTACGTGTAAAATCTTTTCCATTTTTAAAATTTATAGAATCGTTTTAAACCAAAAATGGTTTGAATAATGCTTTGTTGTGCCCATTTAATCACGAATTTAACGATCTTTTTGTAAAGAACATCCCAGACGATTCCCCAGTCGAAAATTATCCCGAAAGAGGCGCCGCATGTCAATAACAACAAATCAGCCTCTATACAATACATATATACAGAAGAATTCTCACTCTTCTCACAGTTGCGACCGATGTATGTTGTGGCCGAATGCTATCGCATGCCGCTATTGCAAGTGTATATGTATTTGTCAACAACATCCCGTTAGATTTTTGTTCTCAATTATAAGAATTCAAATACTTTACACTCGCACACACAAAGCAACACGCTCAAAACATGAAAATATCTGTACGGTGTGTGTATGAAATATTGCCGCAGTATTACTGCGTTTAATTTCTCTGAATAATTTATGTTGGTGTGTGGTACAATATGACTTGTTGCCTTTTTCATACAACCGTGAGCAGTGAGCATCACAAATAAATAACTATTCATTTCAATACGTGCTGGTCATCCTTCACTCAAGCGTCGGCTGTAGCGTATTACACACGCTCATTGAAGTGCGAAAGGGACAATCGATCATATTGTTCTATCGTTTACCTTCTGTATTACGCATCACTGTAGATGACACAGAGAGCGACAGATGCCGGAATATATCATGTATGCGGACACTGCATTTGTGTTTGTGTATCTCTGTGTGGGAAACAACGTAAAATCGGTGTAGTTGTTGATGTTTACTAGAATGAAACACGGATCGAAGCACTAGAGCGATATCTGACAAGATTATTCCCATTGGGAAGAAATGAGTCGAATTTTAGGTGAAGTTTTTTGTGTGTTTCAAAATTCGCGAAAAGTGGTTGAAATACAGGGAAATCAGTGGTAATTATTTACCTTTACCGACCAATGGGACACATATGTCCCATCACGCCAAAAGCAATAAAAATTTGAAACAACATTTTTTGTAGAAAAGGCGATTATCCTTAGAAAGTAACAGACACAGTGGCGTATCCAGGGGGGGGGGGGTTTGGGGGTTCAAACCCCCCCTCCCCCCCGAAATCCAGAAAGGGAAAAAATATTATAGATTGAAGAGAAATTGCATTCAAGGTTACAAGTTATCAAGAAAATTTCCGCTCGCTTCGCTCGCGACCCTGTAACAACTTTCGCAAAATATATTATTGTGGCTCCATTTGCCTTAAAGATTCATATGATTTTGATTAAATTTTATGTATAAAGTTTATGTTTAACCTTTTTTTGTAAAAGTAGTTCGATATTCGCAAATCATTTACTTGTGCAGCTGAATATGAAAATACCGAACACATTCAATAAATTGCAATAATCTTGTAGAAAATTCGATGATATTCCTCTGTCGCCCATTCACGACAGGTGATTGTGACGATTTCTAGGGTATGATGTTATTTTTACGAAAACTTATATATTAACTTTGATGCGGTTAAAATGAACATGAGACTTTCGTCGTTCAATACACAGATACGAAACAAAAATAAAGCAATCCATTAAAATGGAACATGGAAAAGAAATCCGTGAGAATTAAACATAGCATGTGCCGTTTTAAGTATTTCACTTTACGGTGTTCCGTTTTGATAGATTTTTTGTCTGCAGTGTCGGTATGAACGAATCCTCTCGCATTGTTTCATATGAATGGATCTCTATCACATTGTTCCGTTACTCGAATATTTTTCCGTGTGTTTCATTTCAATTGATTCCCGAGCTATTGATGACGTCACTCGCATTTATCACATGATGCAAATTAAGTGATAAGGAGCCCGAATTTCCATGTGGCGATAACACCAATGGATTGGGCAAAAAAAATACTTTATGAGAATCGAAAAAAAAAATTAAACTTTTTTTTCGATTTTTGCCTGTTTCGGATCGTCTACAAGTTGACTACAACTGAAGAAGAGTTCCAGTTTTTCCTACCTATGGGGGCTATGGATCGGGATAAATGGTGGCAAATTTCCCAATTTGGTGCGGCCTAGCGAGCCACACCGACCAAAAATCATTTCGGCCCCATTGGAAAAATTTCGAAAATTTATCCGCTGATAAATCTTCCACATACGAGAGTCAATTTTTCCTACCTATGAGGACTATCGACCCGGATAAATGGTGGCGAATGGCCTAATTTGGTGTGGCCTAGCGAGCCATACCGACCAAAAATCCTTTTGCTCCCATTGGGAAAATTTCGAAAATTTATCCTGAGCAAAAAAACAGCACTTGTCTTGAGCATAAGATAACAAGAACGTACAGGTTTCAGCAGCGCACAAAACCCCTGCATTAATCTCTTCAAGTCTTCAGCAGATATTGGCTCTCAAAGCGTTTTCCAACTCTGAAAAAGAAAATTTCGCCTTCCCCTTGAAAATTAGATCAATCGAAAACCCCCCCGAAATTCATCTCTGGATACGCCGCTGAACAGACACTCCGTACAACATTTCCAATTTTCAGCTTTAAAAGTTGTACCCTTCAAATTATATAGGGTTTGGCAGAATTTGAAAAAAAAGTTAAGATTTTTCGACTTTGAAGTGTTCTATTTGAGCACAGTGATGTAAAATATCCAATATTATGGTACTTTCTGGTAGCTACATTCATTCTCTTTCAAAAGAAACCAATTTTATCGAAATCGGTCTAAAAATGTGGAAATTATTGACGAAAAACAAAATGGGACATATGTGTCCCAAAGGTCGTCAAAGGGTTAATGCGTTTCGCTTAACATAACGCGCGAAAAATATCTGCTATTTTTATGCGATATTTTTATCCGATGTCCACTACTCGGACATGTTTATTTTTAAAATGACATTGTAACGCTATATTTATCAATAATTTACAATGTTTATTTCACTTTATTTTCGCTAAATCGCACGTTCTTGTATCAATCAATATTTATGTTAATCTCATGTTCTTTTCAGTTTACACTAATGTTTGTTTTAAACTCACGTTCTTTCGGCCTTGTGCTAAATTGCAAGCTAAGCAGAATTATGATATATAAGCCATAGCATTTAAAAGCTCAAGTCAGTACAATTTTGTATCTCAAGCGATCAATAAAGGTTTAATTAAAATCAAATTAGACAACTCTTTTCATTTAAATGTTCTTAGAACAGCTGAACAATAAAAATGTCCCATAGTAATCTCTGGATCTAACGCTAATAAACATAATACATACATACTGATAATACAAAAATGGAATGCAGTTCACGGCTATTGAATGTGAAGGAAATGAAAATTTTGCTGATATTTGTTTGTTTGTCACATAAACAATATTGAGAAAAAAAACTGCATCGGTTCCAAAGCTAAAAATACAATAATTTTATTTGTTTATATGTTTGAAATTTTTACGCAAATGTTATACCAATATAGAATTAATTTACTGTCTTGAATTAACATTCGTCATAAATCATTATGTAATACAGAAACATCCTATTCATACTCACATTCACATTCGAATATGAAATGATTATTCAATTTGCCAAAATTTGCGTTGATTCACATTGCGGTTGAGGTGGGGTAAACCAATCAACATTTTCAAATTATATGTATGAAATTTGCTCACACCAACAACTTGTTTCCGTAAAGCGTTAATTCTCCTTTCGTTTTTGTTTTTCTTTCTTCTCTCGGTTACACAATGATTTATTCAGCATCGAATTTCGATATCATCTTCCACTTGTCTTACCACATATGCTCTGTATACGTGTGAAGATTGTTTTATGAATCTTCTTTTTTGGCCATTCTGTTCGTCACCTGATGTTTTAGATATTTTGTTGATAGAATTTAACATTGATTCACTCAATAGCTCAGTGTCTACCGGGATGAAAAGTGCTGTGTGAGCTAAATAAAATTCTGAACGATATTTTTCTGCAACAAAAGACGTATAAAAATGTCAGTAAAATCAATGACCAGTGCGGTATTCTTGCTAATACTGTGTATCATTTCACAAACGCGATGTGATCTATCACGAGTTTACTTGCCAACGGCCGAATTCCATCAACCAGGTATAACATAGGCTTTTTAAAAGTTTGCTACATTTTCGTTTTTGGTTTCAAAAGTTTAGTACAATTTGATGTATTTTTTTGTGTTTGTTTTCCTGGCAACTCGTAGAAAAAAACTATTTGAGTAGTTATCAGCCAGCTGAACCGCCGACTCTGTCACCGTTCAAATTTGATTTTGTGAAACCACAACCAGTGTCTGTACCACAAAATCCGTTTTTGAATCAGTTTACAACAACTCAATTCAAACAACAAGGTGATTTATTTGCATGTTCTTTAATAATTCTAGGCCGTTGAACTAAAGTGCACCTTAGCATAATCTCAATGTCAACCGTAAACTAAAGTCATAAATTAGTTCGAAACAGTCAGCTTATCAGTTATCATATAAAACTGTTTCTATATTGTTGTTTCTATTCGATTTATAGATTCGTTCCCTGCACCTTTCGAGCCTGTAAAATTGCCCGAATTCACAACATTTAAACCATTTGCAACGACCAGTAAACCATTGCAAATCAGCTATAATCCTCCTCATCCATTCCCTACTCTAAAGCCTTTGGCACCGGTATATAAACCTCAGCCACTTCAATTCAACAATCAATTCATACCTACACAATCGCCTGCATTCCCGAACTACAAAGCTCCATCGTTTCCTACTCTCGCCCCATTGAAACAACAGCCAATCTACAAGGTACCAATAATGGCGATATTTTTGGTGTAACATAACATAATAATAAATATGTTGAAAATGTAAATCTGTAGGCACCATCGTTCCCCCAACATGTATACAAGCAGCCTATCTACGAAACACCATCGTTTCCCACTTTCGCCCCGCTGAAACAACAACCAATCTACAAGGTACCAATTCAAATTTATCCGTAATGACACATTTTATTAAATACTAGCCGAAACGGCGAGCGAAGCGATTCAATTTCCAATTTTGAAACTTTGATCTCTTGGATAAGTCACGTTCATTTTGTCTTTTTTTCTATTCATCGGTTGATTTAAAATGATTATGTTCGTAAGATAATATGTTATCACTATGCCAAATCATAATAACGTTATTAAGATTTTAAAAAAAACCTAACATAATATAATACAGTGCACGTCCGAAAATCTTAAGTAGTTTGTTTTTCGGGTTCTTGAGTTTTCTAGACGGTTTCGAATTTCAACTTAGACTAGATGAAAATGATAAAAAAACATGTATGTTAACATTCTGAACATGTTGCTCATTATCTAGGGGGGAGACACGAAATCTTAATGAGTAAAATTAGAACATGATTCAACGATAATAGGAAAAATAGAAGAAATTAGTGAATTTGGTTTGCCAATGTAACGCTTACGGACGTATTGTTTATTGTTCACAAAAAAATCCCGTTAGGTCTTCCATATGCGTTATATTGGCAGTGTAATACGCTCTGCAACCAATTTTACTAGAAATAATGGCACAATATTAGCACTTTTGCACCAAAACTAGAAAAATTAGAGGCTTTATGTCAAAAATATATAAAATTGAATGTAACTAGACTCTACTAGAATTCTTGTCTCGCCCCTAGCTCATTATTTACGTTTTATTAATGCACTTTCTGAAACGAACGTTCAGAAATCTTAAGAAAAACCTAAAATTTCCAAACATTCACTGTGATAAATATGTTGGGCAATAATATAATTATATCATATCGAAAATGTATATCTCTAGGCACCATCGTACCCTACTCTACCGCCATTGAAGCCTTTGGCACCAGTGTACAAACCTCAGCCACTAGCTCCACTATCACCAGTGCCATCATTGCCATTCAATCCACCAATTCAACATGACTTCCCCATTCAACCAACCCTTACTCCTTTGTCCCCAAAACCCAATTTTAATATACCTCCCCCAGAACAATTGCCACAAGGGCCAGAATTGGACAACTACTTGAGTGATTTATTCCACGATTTTGTGAGGCAATATAAACGTGAATATATCTCCGAACCAATTGAGATGGCCTACCGTTTTGATGTGTTCAAGGGAAACTTTTTCACAATGCAAGAGCATACGAAATCAGATCGTTCATCAGCTGATTATTCCATTACTGAATTCGCCGATTTGACTAATACTGAGTTTGAACGAGTTCTCGGTTGGGACGAAAGTTTATCGAATACAACTGGTATTATTGAAAACGCTGATATTCCAAGTGATGCACAGGGACGATCCGCCGGCGGTGTGGAAGGTGAAATTCCTGAACATTATGATCAACGTGAAGAAAACCTGGTCACACGCGTAAAAAATCAAGGTTATTATGGTTCATTTTAATTTACCATCGATGTCCAATGTAAGATTTAATCCAATTACATACGATATACCATTCTGTTCATTACAGGTGACTGTGCTTGTTGTTGGGCATTCGTGACAACGGCGGTCATTGAAGGATTATGCGCAAAACGTATCAAACAGTTGCAAGAGTTCTCGGAACAATCATTACTTGATTGTGATAAAAGCAATTATGGATGCAAAGGTGGTGTCCCCGAAAATGCTGTGAAGCACATCGAAAAACGAGGTGGGCTAGAATTGGAGACAGTTTATCCATACGAATATGCACAATCAACATGCCGTTTCGAAAAGCGTAATGTTCGGGTAAAGGTGGATGAACCAGTCAAATTCAAGAAGAATGATGAAGAAGGAATGAAAAGATGGCTATACACGAATGGTCCGATTGCCGTTGCTTTAAACGCCGCTCCATTGAAATACTATAAAGGAGGCGTTCTTAATCCAACATCTCAGCTCTGTAGTCCGAAGCAAATTAACCACGCAGTGACTATTATTGGATATGGCGTTGAAAAGAATACAACTGGCGAGAAATTGCCATACTGGATCGTGAAAAACTCGTGGGCAACTGGATGGGGAGAAAACGGTAATTTTTTATTCTTAGTCTTGATTGAAGAGTATCGAATATGTTTTGATTTCCATTTCAATTACACACTTTTTGTTTGTGTGCTTTTGCTCACCGG